AAAAAAAATATATATATATAAATGGGGAAAAATGTTTCCCAGGAAAGTGCTGGGACGGGGATCCAAGGAACTTGTGGAATCTCCATCATTGGAGGGAGTCAAAACTCAGCTGCATTCAGCTCTGAGCAACTTGATCTGGGTTTGAAGTCACCCGCCTTTGAGCAGGGATTTGGGCTAGAGACCCCCAAAGATTCTTTCCAGTCTAGATTATTTTATGACTGCAGGTTGGTGTTGGGGTTGTTTGCATGCTGGATTGAATCCAGTCCTCTCTAACAGATGTATTCTGCTTGGCACATGATGGTTACTTTATTTTTGAAACTATTTTCAGGTATAGTTAGGAAGAGATCAGTCTCTTGCTACTTTGTCAACCGTCTTACTGTTCCACTGGTGAGTTTGTAGCTGTCCATCTGAGAGCTAGTTGTTATTCGTGTTACTGTTCCTCTTGGAAAATGATGCAGGATCATGTTCCTTCTGGTAAATAGAAACTTCTCACTTTCTAGTCTAGTGGTGTTTGTGACAGGGTTATTCTTATTTTGTTCCCCTTTTCCCTCCACTTTGAAATAAGCCTAAATAGCCCTTCTCCCTTATATTTAGTCTGCTCACATATTTAAAAAGAAGAATTGTGTCTACAGTCAGCATTTGTTTTACTGGTCCAAACCATGCCTGTCTCCTCTCTGCAGTCAGACTTCCTTGGATGCCCAGAAAGATAGAGATCCTTTCTTTACGTCAGTGTAACTTGTCTCTCTTTAAAGTGGGTATCAAGAACTGTACATGGTAATAACATGGTCGAAACCTTACAGGACATTAAGGCAGTAATTCTGCCTCAGCCGCAGATATTTTGCGTGACACTTCTTGGGATTCTGCTGGGCTTTTTCATTGCTTCACCACATTAGCGGCATCCTGCTAAGATGCCCTGAAACAACCATCTGTCTCCACCGGGAAGCTTCCCATTGACACAGTTTAAAAAGATCATAACTGCTAGAGTAAATGTGGTATAAACTTTAAATAAGCCTCCATCCAGCTCTGTAGCCTGTCTTCAACGGTAGCTATAAGCAGATGCCTGCTGCAGACTATAACAACAGGACAAGCATGTATGATTCCCCTCCCAAACGTTTTCCCAGCCTCCAGCCACTGTGCCTCAAGGAATTCCTGAGCCAGATGGGCTCTCTGTGTACTCATGAATCCCCCATGGCTTTCTGTTTCATGAACTTGTGCAGTCCTTCTTGGGAACTCCTGGCATGTATAGCATTATGTTTAATAACTACAAATTTGTCTAATCCTTGTTCTGAAGCCAGTTGTATTTCTAATCTTTGCAACATCCTGCGGTAGTGGGTTTCACACTTCAGACTCTGAGTTGATAAGTGTTTTGTTCTGTTTTAAACCTAATGCCCTATAATTTAATTGGGAATCATGTCGTTCTTATCCTGAAAGAACAAATCCATAGGGACAGTTTCTCTTCAACACCCTTCTTGATTTTTGAGATTTGTCATCTTCTCCTTCATATTTTTTCCTGAGTCAGCGAGCTCTAGTCTGATTAGAATCATAGAATCATAGAATCATTAAGGTTGGAAGAGACCTCCAAGATCATCGAGTCCAACCGTCAACCCAACAACACCATGCCCACTAAACCATGTCCCTAAGCGCCTCATCTACATGTCTTTTAAATACTTCCAGGGAGGGTGACTCAACCCCTTCCCTGGGCAGCCTGTTCCAATGTTTAACCACTCTTTCAGGAAAGAAATTTTTCCTTACATCCAATCTAAACCTCCCCTGGCGCAACTTGAAGCCATTTCCTCTCGTCCTTTCGCCAGTTACTTGGGAGAAGAGACCAACACCCACCTCGCTACAACCTCCTTTCAGGGAGTTGTAGAGAGCGATGAGGTCTCCCCTCAGCCTCCTTTTCTCCAGGCTAAACAACCCCAGCTCCCTCAGCCGCTCCTCATCAGACTTGTTCTCCAGACCCCTCACCAGCCTCGTTGCCCTTCTCTGGACACGTTCCAACATCTCAACGTCCTTCTTGTAGTGAGGGGCCCAAAATTGAACACAGTATTCGAGGTGTGGCCTCACCAGTGCCGAGTACAGGGGCACAATCACTTCCCTACTCCTGCTGGCCACACTAGTTCTGATACAGGCCAGGATGCCGTTGGCCTTCTTGGCCGCCAGCTTATACAATTAATCTTGTATGGAGCTGTATTGTACTTCTGATTGATATATCGTCCTTACATGACCTCATTATCATGAAAATTCCACTTACGAAAACAAGTCTAAGACAGTTTTGCCTCTTGTTGGTTTAGTGACAATTGACACAGCCCATCAGCCAGACCCACCTGGCCTCTTCACATCGTAGCAGTTGTTTCCTAGGGTGGGAAACTTGTCCTTCTTGTTATTGGAAAGCCCCATAGTCCGTGTCTCTGTTATACCAGATGTGCACATTGATGAACTCACTTGATCTGACTTCATCTAAAGCAGATCTCTTAAGCCATCAGAGTAGATTTTTTTTTTTGGCCTTCTATCCCCAAAATGATTTAGAATTGTGTTTTGCCAGAATCTGGTGGTTTGCTGCTCAGTGGAATTAAGTAAATATTTCTTTCAGCGTGCCTGGCACAAATGGCTCTGGTGTAGCACAGATCTCCATATGTGCAGCTTGCAGATTGTACAGAATTTTGAGTGAACATACAGTTGGGGTCCTGCTGCTGTTGCAGGAGACTTCTCTGGATCATCTCTTTAGATCTTCACTGTAGATTATACTCTCACTATAGTTTAATTCAGTTTGTTAAGCTGTTGGTCATGACTTTGTTATTTCAGTGTAGGACACTGCATATTTAGAATGCAATCCTTCCACCCATAGTTCACAGCTGAGCTAGTAGTTGGGCTGATTTGCAACCAGTGGCTCAACTTTCAGATTTTTTAAGTTAGACAGCTTTGAAGTCTCTGTTAATGATGCAGTTCTCCCAACTCCTAGAAGATGTTTTTGCTGATTTTCTTTTTTTTTTTCTGTGGAAGATTACAAATAGTTTACTAATATTGTATGGCAAATGAAACTTAGGGTAAGTTTAACAAGTACATGAGAGCTTTCACTCGATGATCTCTTCTTCTGTGCTTTACCCTCTTAGGTGTAGACCTAGACCTGGCAAGAAAAGAAGAGGAGCAGCAAATGCTACAGGATGCCCGACAGTGGCTGAACAGTGGGAGAATTGAAGATATAAAGCAGCCTCGAACAGGTGCCACAGCTCTTCATGTTGCTGCGGCAAAGGGCTATTCTGAAGTCATGAGGTAGGAGCTCCTTCCCAGGGCTGATGCACTGAATTAAAGCTGGTTTTCCTGAGGAACACATCTAGCTTTATAGTTGAGAGAAACTTGTTTCATACTGAGATTTTCAGGCTGCTATTTCTCAAAAGGCTCTGTAGATTTATGTGCCCAACAGTAGTGGTTCACCTAGAAATATATAGGGACCAGAAGATTCCCTTTCATACCTCTAGGCCTTCAAAGTGATGAAAGCTTTTCAGAGTGAGACATAAATTAGCAGGTTTAATTTTCACTATTAGAGTAATAGTTTTAGGACTAGCAAGTTAAACAGTATTCTGGGATAAAAGTGTAATTTCAGCCTACAAAGTGACAATAAATGCTGCATGACAATCACGAACACCCCAACAGTTTATATGACCAGTCTAGTGGAAAAATGCAGTGACCCCCCCATCTCACTGTCCCCTGCTCCTTAATGTTACTGCTCCTGCAGTGACAGAGGGATTCCAACACCTAACAGTTCTGCTTCTACTGCTCTGGCACTAACCAGCTTATTATGAACATGAACTTGCCCGATGTAGTGTTTCCTGGCAATAAAGCATTAGTATTTTTACTGGTAAAGTCAAATTAAGGTTTCCAACAATAAAGCTTTCTTCTCTACTCTTTATGTATGGGTGGAGCTGCCCATAAACATCAGCAAGGTTACTCTATCGCCCACATTAAAATCCTTTCTGGAAGCGTTCGTCTATCTTGATCCTTAATGTCACAGTTTTAAGTGGCATGACTTAATGTGTAAGAGCTGTTTCTCATCAAGCTCTAGTAATTTTGTTGTTCTCCATGTTTCCTATTTGTATTCATTCATTAGAGCTTATAATTGAGTTGTAAGTTGTCTGTGCCTGTACTGTGCCCAAGAACACTAATCTAACATGGCTCATGTGGAATAGAAATGTAGTATCTCCTGAATTTGAGGTGTTGGTCCCGTGGACTTTCAGTGGAGGGTTTTATATCTAGTACTCGTCAATGAAGGCTGCATTCACTGTTTGCAGGGTGACTAGTTCTGGACAGCTACTCCTTGGCATTAATTGTTATAATGATAAACGGATCTCACGGAGACCTGACATTGTTTCACTCTTGTGTATTTTATGGCCACCCTGTAAGTTCAAATACAAAGCTTCAGTGACTTAAACCAAAGGGGCTGAAAGCCAGGAGCTAGCTAACTCTCAAATGAGACAGGGAATTTGTCTGTGACCTTGAGTCTCATAGCAGCTATGTTCCTCCCTTTTGCCAGCTGGAAAACCAACATAAAGTCAGCACCTAATTTAAAATTTCTTTCACAGAGAAACACACTGCTGCTATAGGATGACTGTGCTTTATTTAGCACAGTAACACATCGGTGTAAAGCTGCAGGAGTTTCAAAATTGTTGGTGCCATGCTGGGGTCATGCTGGATTTTCCCTTGTGCTGCAGAAAGGTGGCTCTAGATGGTGGAATTTCCTATGATGGAAATTTTCAGTACCAATTTTACCAGACTTGCAGAATTCCCCTGGGATGTTCTTCAATATTTAAGCAACTTGGATAATAGTCAGTTGTGATACATGAGCCGCTCAGTACTTCCATTTGATCACTGGTGTACCAGTGTGCATATGTCTCTGAAGCTTCAGACTACAATTGACTCTCTTCTGTTTGTTTTGTTTTTAAATATTCAAGCTCCAGATGCTATGCAACACTAGCACTCCGGTCTGATAGAGAAGGGAGTGGGTGGACGGTGCACAGCAGTAAATGTGATGCAGGGGTGTTCCCAGGCAGGTTCACCTGGGTAAGATTTGCTTTAACTGTGCCAAGGACTAGTCTGCAAAAACGCATTTTGGGTTGTTTAACCCAATTGTGGGTTATTTAACTTACAAAATTCACATCTGTCAATCGCAGTAATGTCACTGCTTCTTACCTGGCAGTCCTGCTGGCATCATCTCCTTATGGACCATTCCTACGGTGTGGCCTTGTTCTCTGGTAGAACCAAGACTGAGCTCCAGTTACCAAATGTCCTTTTCATGCCAGGTGCTGTGCTTGGCTCCTTGTTACGGAGATGGCAGTCTGCAGAGATGTAGTTTGTCTGCTTAGTGCCTGAGCGAATCTGGTGTCTCTCGTCCATTGGAGCAGGACTTCAGACTGGGTCACCGATGCCAGATTAGAAATTAAGGTGTTCTCCCAGTTTAGGACATGAGGAAAGGGAACCTTATCAATTAGACACATTCCAGCAGGTTTTACAGCGAAGTCACTTTTCGTTTACTGCCCTTTTCTGTTACAGTTGCAAGCACATCAAGTGGGATGTTGCTTAGGTGAATAAACAAGTTAAGAAACTACTGGCTTATTGTGAACCATGTTACCTATTCTGTGGCTCATGGTGTGAACTCTTCCGTGACGAGAAGTCATTCTCGGGTGGGCAGAAATCAATATTGCTTTTTTCCTCAGGCTCTTGATCCAGGCTGGGTTTAATTTGAATGTCCAGGACAATGATGGCTGGACTCCACTGCATGCTGCTGCGCACTGGGGGGTGAAGGAAGCTTGCTCCATCCTGGCTGAGGCACTGTGCGATATGGACATCAGGAACAAGCTGGTTAGTACACACAGATGTTGGCACAACTTATGCAATGTATTTTATAGCCAGATGAGTATCAACTTTATTGCCTACCACTTGATCCAATGGCATGACAAAGTTACATGGTGAGCAGTTCTCCTAGCGTGTGCACTGGAGCATTTAAAAGCGTCAGAAAATAAAGAATCTTGACTGGAGGAAGGCAGAAAAGATTTCAAGTATTACTGGAAAAGATCAGTGATTAAACTTTAGGATCAAGATTGTAAGAAAGGATGGGCGCTAATCTGTGTTGTCTTGTTTTAGTGTAATCCTGACAAACTAAACAACAAAAGACAGTCTAGGAGTGCAAAATAATATGCCAATATCAAGGTATAAGGCACTGAAAACTAGTGAACCCTTGAGGAACTGGCAGCTCTAAATCTTTCCTGTTCTACTATATTGGTCGTAAAAAGGGAAATTGAAAAATTGACTCAGATTCATGAGAAACGAGTAAATAAAAATAGGATGGAAGAAAAAAAAGAAAAGGAGAAAAAAGATTCCTCTCCCATCCTAATAGTTAGAAGTTTTTCCCTGAAGAGCCGTGGATTTTCAAGAGCTGACGTGTGCTTGTCCAGGGTTGTTCTTTGTGTTCCCCTCCCTGCTGCGATGTCCAGGCAGTGTCTGTGAACCGCTTCCTGCTGGAGCGGATTCAGTTGTGCCGTGGCTGCTTCTGGGGGAGGAAATGGGGTTGTATGTACTTGGAACAGCACCGGGGGATGAAAGCAGGCAAGATAATTTGGTAAGAGAAATGTGGCACTGTATGGTTTGAGTGCATCTGTCTGTACTGGAAACTGATGTAAAAGGAACGACTCGATGAGAAGGAGCCATTTTAGCATGGTGAGCTCTTTGGCATCCAAATCACAGGAAATCTTTTTTAAGTGCCATCAGGTGCTTTTCCAAAGTGTTCAGAATGCGTGTGTGTTTTGTATTGTGCTAGACTTGAAAAGAAACACACACAGTTGTATCTGCTGCATTACCTGCTCTTTCCAGTCAAGAGTTGTTACCTTGCTAGGTCAGATGGACAAGGCAACCCGTATTTATTTGATCACTAGCCATCAGGTTTCATTATGTGTTGTTAATTATGGTTATTATAGCTTCAGTTATTGTGAAAATATAACTGATTTCTTGTTTTGTGCCCAAAAAAACCCCCCCAAAAAATTGTTTTATTTTGTAAATGCCCAAATTTTTTGGCCTGCTGATGACTGGCAGCCTTTCAGGAGGTTCAAATACATGATGATACAGTAGAACTGATTGATCGCATTCCTCCTCAGTACAAGAGTGTCCTTTTTAGAAACCTGGAAACTCAAATATGTTAGTCCTGGCTGTTAGATTTGAGCAGCAGCAACCAGGGAACTGCACTTCCATGATTAAGGTTGCTCTGATGATGGATTAAGTCATAAAACTATCATCACTGTCGTGTG